ATACAGTTGATGAGAAATATTGCTTGTTCTGAGTATTGTGACCCACCAGGTGCTTAAAACTTGTTGACAAAGTATGGAACATCAGTGGCAATATGTAGGAGTAAAAATTGTTCTGTTATTCTGCTCAGTATAGCAATAGCAATTGCATCATTGTTTCACAGAAAGGATAACATTATGATCCTGTGTGGGTGTATAGCTCATCTGTGGGAGGAAGTTTCTGTGCATACTTAGTGATCAAAATTCAAGAAACACACCTTATTTTTATGAATATTTTCTCATTAGGAATTTGGCTCATGTAAATGCATCACATAGTTTGTAGAAGCATTATATGGAAAAGGATAAATAAGAAATGAAAATTTTTTTTTTTTTTTTTTTTGCATGTACAATAAAAGCTTGAGCTACTGGAGAGAATTCCTGGGAGTATATAGTATCGTGGCTGTAAACCCAGTCTTTAAAATCTAAATTTAATTCTAACCTAAAAATAACTAGAATGTCAGAGATGTACCTTTCCACAGCATGAATAGGTTTGTAAAGTATAGATTTATCCATATGCAATGCTATTTTCTCTTTAAAACTTGAGATATCTTTTGGGAAAGGATTTGGCCCCAAGTATTAATAAAACCCATACTTTAGAAGCAAGTATTTTAAAATCACCTGTTGATGGAGGTAAAATAACTTACTAATAAATAAACCTCCCAAAGTACCTAGAGCTGTTTAAATATTTAGCATGATAAAATGAATGCCATAAAATTACAGCTTAACAAAATATAACATAGTCATTTAGTTTCTATTCTTCTCCCTAATATAAAGTAGCAGGTTAATATGCACTCTCTCTGGTTTTGTTATTCTTTTTTTTTGTTTTGAGGCAGAGTCTCGTTCTGTCACCCAGGCTGGAGTGCAGTGGTGCGATCTTGGCTCACTGCAACCTCTACCTCTCAGGTTCAAGCGATTCTCCTACCTCAGCCTTCTGAGTAGCTGGGATTACAGGCATGTGCCACCACACCCAGCTAATTTTTGTATTTTTAGTAGAGGTGGGGTTTCACCATGTTGGCCAAGCTAGTCTTGAACTCCTAGCCTTAAGTGATCCGCCCACCTAGGCCTCCCAAAGTGCTGGGATTACAGGCATGAGCCACTGTGCCTGGCTTCTATTTTTAATATGCTGCATCCTCACCCTTTGTGGAAAGCCTCTGGGTTTCAATAACTGACAAGCCGACCTTGCTGAAAGAAGATAGAAATACAAACAAGTAGAAGCAACTGTTCAATATAGTAAGCTATTGAAGAAAGAAATAAGTTTAATAGGAAAAAATAATCAATGAATTGGGGGAAAGTGTAATCAAACATACAATTCTGTGGATCTGAGAACTATTTGGAGTGAGCTGGCAGATAATGTTATAAAAAGGTTACCAGTTTATGAATTCTATATATTTGATAATTTTGGGATAACTTTGGTGTTCCTGTATCACATGGTAATCCTATAAAATAGATCAAGTGTTTCTCAAAATACCATCTTTATAAATATCATCTTGGAGGCCTCACTCTGAATCAACTAGATCTGTATTTCTGGGAATCTACATTTTAACCCACCCCTCAAATGATTCTTAATGCAGAAGTAAAATCTGAAAATTACTATAGTAGCTTAACTGAGTGTAGATTACATTGATTGCTTTTGCAATGATGCCATTATTTTCTCTTTCTGAAGACCCACTGTTTCCAAGACCCAGTTAAAAGCCACCTTTCTTGATTTGTTTTCACACAGAGTTTAGTTTCTTCCTCCTCTGCTCCTCTAGCTCCCATAATTGTGCCTTTGTTACACTAATCAAGAGTATCCCAAATCTCTTAATGCAGATTTAAACTTAACTTTACATACATAAGTGCTGCAAACTTATCAAAAACATTATTTAAAATGTATTTAAATTCATTTTACAATCATTTAGTTTTGTTTATTTTAAATAACAAGTTCTTAATTTTAATATTTATATGTGGCGTTTTTTTGGACTGGTAGAAAAACTTGACCACCTCAATCACCTCATATATCTCCCTTAAACTTTGTCTTTCAGGGTCATGTCAAAATAGTTGAGTGTGCACCAATATTTTGTTCTTCAAATAATCTTAAATCTAGGATCACAGATGTCATCCTTTCTGTCACTAACCCGCAGCTGGTAGAACTTTTTAAAAAGTTTGAAATTTGACTAGAGCAATGTATAGTACAATCCAGTATACTATACGTTGAATTTGATTTCCTGTTGAATTTTAATACAAATATATTAATATCTTGAAATTTTAAATAATTTGCCTTTTATCTATTGATTTGTGTAATTATGTATCATTTATACTTCTGAAGTTAAAAACACTTAAAACAGCATGAATACTTTTAAATTCTGTGTTTTAACTTATTTGTGTGAATTCCTATCTCCCTGAACAGCCCTTCTCTTAAAGTCAGGGGCCATGTTTTATTCATCCTTTTATCCCTAGTATGGTTGATTAATATTTGCTGAATCAAGGTGAAAAATATGTCTATTTTATATTGTCTAATTAATATATTCAACATTATTTAAATATTACTAACTGTATTTAGATATAGGTAGCATATTTAAAATGTAATATTAATATAGCATCAAACATATATTTAATACTATTCATTGTGTTTCCATACATTGCAGTTATTATCCTTTTAGATGCTCAGATTGTTTCATGTTTGGCCAGGGGGAATCTCTTCCTGTTGAGTCCTGAGTCCTACTAACACAAGAGTCAACTCCTGTGTAGTAGTAGTCTTGATACGCTACTCCTAGTAGTCTTTGATAACTTCCTTCTGTCTTGTATCACAGTATAATCCAAGCTCATCTTGTACATTTCCTATTCCAGATCTCACATCAGCCATTTTCCAACAAAGCCTGGGAAATGTGGTTTTCAGACCATAAACTCTGGGAAGTGTATCATTACTAGCTAGGTCATTGTTCCTATGCCTTTTCAGGTTGCAGAGCTAAGAAATACATGCGTACATATATATATGTATGTACATAGATAATACTTCAAGAGGCGCCAGCATGTTATTTAACTTCTTCAATCTTATATATGTGTCAGCTTTATCCCATGCTAAAAATACTTAACAATGACACTGGAGTGATAGAATGGCAGTCATATAATTGTTCAGTTATTCATCTTACAAAGCACACACAACAGATTCTGCATGACAATAATCACAACACTACCATCTAACATCATATGATTACTGAAAACAGTTTAAGATTATTTTAACAGTTCTTTTTGTTGGATCACACTAGGAATGTGCTAGTAAATTTTTATATAAGATACTTGAAATAGTCACTTTCTGTATGATTATTATCCACTGCTAGAGTATACATTCAGATCATATTTACTTTTTTCCTTGAAGAGAATCCCTTTGAATGTTTAGTCATACCCTCTGATTCTGGAAGGTAGGCAAATAATGGAATTTGCATACATTGCAGCTGAAGCAAGCTATAGAAGCAGCATGCAGAAACTGGGCAACTTACCAACTTTTCCCAGATTATCTCTCCTTTGGCATATGAGTCCTTCAGAAAGACAAGACCCAAATCTTAAGTATTTCTTTGAATTTGTAAAATATACTTAAGTTTTATTTTTAAACCTTTGCCCCTGATCTGAGTATGTATTTCTTCTGACAAGGCATTGTGGTGAAGTTGCATTATCAAAAATTGTGTTGAACAACATTCCTTTTTGTTAAAATTAAATTCGGGAAAAAATGAACTGGAATATCATTTCTTAAAATATTCAGTACTGTGGAAATGGGTGGGTTTGCTTTTTCAAAATTAGCCAAATAATAATTTTATTTTTTGAAGTAAAGTTAGTTTTTTAAAGTTAAAATAGTGATGGCCAGGCGCGGTGGCTCACGCCTGTAATCCCAGCACTTTGGGAGGCGGAGTCGGGCCGATCACCTAAGGTTGGGAGTTTGAGACCAGCCTGACCAACATGGAGAAACCCTGTCTCTACTAAAAATACACAAAATTAGCGGGGCATAGTGGCACGTGCCTGTAATCCCAGCTACTCGGGAGGCTGAGGTAGGAGAATCGCTTGAACCCAGGAGGCAGAGGTTGCTGTGAACCGAGATTGTGCCATTGCACTCCAGCCTGGGCAACAAGAGCAAAACTCTGTCTCCAAAAAAAAAAAACTAAAATAGTGACACTAATACATGGTTAAAATGTATTTATCACTTAATGTATGTCAGATTCTATTGATTTATCTCATTTTGTCACTTAATTCTTACAACAGTTTTATTGGGTTGTTACCAATATGCCCGTTTTATAAATTTCGTGAGGAAACTGTGCCATAGAAACATTGTCTCTAAGCAAAGATCAGTTTGTTGTATTGCTGCTTATTGTATGTCCAGTAACTGCAGGTTAAAAAAAAAAAAGACCATGGTGGCTTTTGAAAGAATTTTTTGTAATTCCTGGGACTTAAATTTAGGTGAGAACTATGAACTGGGTAATTATTATTAGTAGATGTATTAATTTTAAATGTGTACTGTAAAGTATATTTAATAGCTTGCAATAGTTAAAAATATAAAATTATTTGAGATTTTGATAGGACTATTGAAATAAATGTTAGTGTGTTTTTTAATGTTCTAATTGATAATAAATTAGTATTTGAAATGTTAGGGACATTTCAACAAAATACATTTATCACGTGTAAAAGCTTAGATAGAAAATGATTACAATATTTTTTCAATATTTGTTTTTAAAAGTCTACTTAATGTATATTGTCTTTTAGTATGCATTTAAAGGTAGTAAAATTAGAATATACAGTTAAGCAAAAATAAGGATATCCTCTGTTAGTGACCATCAGAGCTAACCATTATTAATATTTTGGTATATAGCATCCCAGATTTTTCCTATTATTTTTGCTTGAATTGTTAAGACTTTTAAAATTATAGTATAATTTCTAAGAAAATATTTTAAAAGAATGCTTGATATTTTGAATCTAATGTGTATGGTTCTTTTTTTCAGGATTGTACTGTATATGAAACAGAGAATAAAATTCTTCACGTGGTGAGTACACTTGGATTTATTTTAATCTTTGTTAGAGAATATTTCCTTGATCAACTAGAAGAAGTGAACCATAAGAAAAAAATCTACTGACCATATCAGTTAAGTGTATTTTTATAGGAAATCTACAAAAGAATCAAAGCATAACAAATTACGTTAGTTATAACCATTCTATTGTACCTAATAGGAAAAAAAGATACAATATTTTTAAATTGTAATATGTAGCAAGGTTGGAATGTAATAAAAAATTAATAATGTAGAGCAAGGAGAATTTGAAATGAGAATTTCTTTTACTGTTCATCTATTACAAAAAAAAGATCAGAGGTATTCTGTTCTATAATGGGTAATTCATCTCTATCATCATTTGGATGAAATACTTTATTAAAAAAATCAAATTTCCTTTGCTCCATTTCTATACTTACCAGACAACCTTTCAAATGGTAATATGGCAATATTTTTGAATCAGTTAATGACTTTACATATATTTTATTACTAGAAATGGGCTATGGATACATTTTACTTTGTTGAAAAGCCATCTCCTGTCTTCTTAATGAACAGTTGGCCACTTTTATTTGTAAATGCATTTCTTGATCAATGCTGGTTTGTCCTAATAACTTCTTCACCTCTGGTGTGTGTGAAATCATGTCATTTCTGCATCTGCCAGGTACTAGGCGGTGAAGATTCATATGTTTGTAAAAGGACATTTGCCTCATTTATTCCTAATATCAGTTTATAAGTTTTATGTTTCTGAAATGTTTGAATATTTATAAAAGAATACTATTTTGTATTTAGAAAAGTAAATACTTTTAAAACGTCTGAATGTATGTATGGAGGGAAATCAGAATATCAGCGGTACAGCATCCCTATTCCTTTTTTGTTATCTACTATATAAATGGTACTGAATAATCCTCTGCTAATCCTCTCCCCCTCATTGTGCAGTAGGGATGCCCTTTGTGGTTTGTAAGAATAGTCTCAGGAGTGGATAATTAATGTACTTTTCTCCTTATTAGTCCAAGAGGGAAAATAATTACAACTCCCTCATGTCGATCTACCTATAGGGCCTGGAGAATAGAAAGACACTAATATTTATTTAGGGCCTATATATTTCAAGTATTAGCTTAGTTTCTATAAGTGTATTCTCTCATTTAATCCTACTTTTGCAGATGGTGGAACTAAGGGTCACAAATATTAAGTTGTTCAACTATTCAGTTTGAACACAGAATCTCATACCAAAGCCCATGCCCTTTCCAGATCTGGCAGTTGCTACCAGTTCTAGTTCCCTGAGGCTTTACAAATTGTACTATCTTTTTTCCCATGAAACCCAGGGCTACTGTCTAGCTGTGCCTATTTTGTCAATAACTAAGGAGCATGCACAGAGCCTTTCCCACCTACATTTTATTTTCTGTGAGTGACTGTTTCTTTGGCGTTGAATTTTCTGTGACAATGACTGTTCTTTCTGAAGTATTGAATTTACTGAATTCGACTTTGGTACACTGCTGTGGGTTCTTCATTGTGTTTACTTCAAGGCTGTTATTGAGGTCAGTGTGTGTTAACATTTTTTTCTTTATCAGATTTCTCAGGAGTAATCTCTCCCTGATGTTAGTACCAAAAAGAGCTGTACTTTTCTTTATGCATTGGCTGCTACGAACTTAAGATTAAAATTTGTGGCTCATAATGGACAAGTGCATCTCATGGTATTTGTTTTGTATTTAGCTTCATTCTTGGCTCTAATTTATATACATGATTTCTTTTTGCCTTGTTTTTCTCAATTAATTTATGTATGGTATATATTTTTACATCTGTTGATGTAGCCTTTTCTGTGGAGGAATAGTTCCAGTTACAAATGCACATTTGTGATCAATATTCAGATATCAACAAAGGACATGTAAATAATTTATAGAAAAAGAATCTCTAGAGAACTGTAAAAAATATGAAATTTTATTTCTGAGGAAATTTCAGATTCCACCATATGACAGAATAACAGAAATAAATTTAAATGATGAAAGAAATACTGTGGGATTTCTCTTGTACTAAAGACCTTAAATATCATTTTAATTAATTAGACTAAGGAAAAATCTCTTTGGGGTTATAAAATGATGATTGAAATTTTATTAAATAAAAACCATAATAAGTAATAGCCAAATTTTAAAAGTTCTTAATCACTAAATGTTTTTAATTTTAAATAATTTTAAAATAATAAGTAATTTTTAGTTTCTTAAATAAATTCCTAATAATTGACTCATATTGACTTACCTTTCTTAAAAGTCAGATTCTGGGCTACTTGCTATTAGAAATAAGTAACAGCGTAAATAGTACTGAAGGAGTTTAGAAATGAATGCCGTATGTTTACCTTGGCAATTTTGCATTCCAGCTAGTGAGAATTTAAAAATCCTGTCTGATGATGATGGCAACAGTGAATGGCATTAACCAAATCAGTTCGTCTCAGAAAGCACTTGTCTTTTCATGTTATTCTTCTACTTCCCATCCTGACCGTTTTATACAAAGATTACCCAGCCTTTACTAAAAGGTTGTATGTATACTTGTATATTACTTTTCTCACAAGAATAGTTAATTTTTTGGAATAATAAAATAGTATACAGTACCACTTAGTATATGATGCTAAAGAAAATTTCTAGAACAAGTATCTTTCCAGATCTCTATAGTGTAGAAGAAATAACTTTGAGTCTAAAAACCTGTGTCTGAATCCTAATTCTACCGTTTTCTATCTCAGTGAGCTGAATCAAGTGATGTTCTTGAGAGTTTGTTCTAATTATGTAAAATGGGGATATTAATATCTTTCATGAATGATTGTTGCTAGGAGAAAATAAATAAGTAAATTTTCTAGACAGAGCTTTATAATCTGGTAGTCCTCTTTCTAGTATTTATTTATTTATTTAGGTTATATCTCATTATTTAGGTTTTTTGTTGTTGTTGGTTGAGTTTCTTTTTTTTGAGACAGTCTTGTTCAAGCTGGAGCTTTTACGCCCAGGCTGGAGTACAGTGGCATGATCTCGGCTCACTGCGAGTTCCATCTCCCAGGTTCACGCCATTCTCCTGCCTCAACCTCCCGAGTAGCTGGGACTACAGGTGCCCGCCACCATGCCCGGCTAATTTTTTTGTATTTTTTAGTAGAGACAGGGTTTCACCCTGTTAGCCAGTATGGTCTGGATCTCCTGACCTCGTGACCCACACACCTCGGCCTCCCAAAGTGCTGGGATTACAGGCATGAGCCACCGCACCCGGCCTATTTAGGGTTTTTAATTTCCTCTTTCTCTCCTTTTTATACGCACCAGAAAATCAAAAGCCTGAGTTTTTATATAGCTTGTTTAGGATGAAATTGTGAGTTAGTTTTAATGTTTTCCTTGTTTCTATGATACTCGAATATTCTAAGTACAATATGATTTATAATGGCTCCTTTTCAAAGATGAATTAATATGTATTCTATATGAGCATCTTAGCCTGGGTTCTTTCTGGAAAACAGAGCCTACAAAGGCTTGAATGCAGATAGTTTATGTTGATTAGTTATCCCAAGGCACAGAAGAGACACTGGGAAGGAGAATCAATATGGATTCTAGAATTGTTCACCACTATAGGGAACTGAAGTTCGATCCCATCAGGACCTTCTGAGAACCCCTGTAGAATGTGCCTCAGAATTGTCCAACCTGACTGACAAAGATTGAAGAGGGAGAATGTATCTGCTGGCACTAATCCAATTATCCTATTCGTCAAAGATGGCTCCTTGGGATGTTAACTCTCACACTACCAGGTTTTTGGAGGTACCAGAGACCTCTAGGACAGAAAGCAAAGGTAATACAACTGAAGTGAAGCAGATTGCCACAGCAGTAGCTGGAGAAAAAGTGGGCTGAGTGGGGAGTCTAGTACAATGAAGTGCCTCTAAGTGGCAATCCAAATTTTAAAGTATTTTGGATCACATAAAGTATCCTGATAGTGATTGACATCAAGATATGCATAACTCACAAAAGCAAGCTTCAAAACAGTAGATATAGCATAACATTTGTGTAAAAAAGCAGTGTATTTATAGTGAAGAAAATAATTTGAAGAACTATGCAATAGACTTAATGTTGGTTGCCTTTGCAAGGAATAGGATAAATTTTAGGGGCATTAACTTTAAATTATGTGTTTGTATAATGGTTAAATATAGCATAACAAGTATGTGTTAATCAGAAAAAGAAAGTACTAAAATATCTGTAGAAATGCCTGAATAGCAGCCCAAAATCTAGATTAAAAATGAGTATTTTATAGTTAGATACAATGAATTAGATCTACTACTTGATAGCACAACAGAGTAACTGAGGGACTACAGTCAGCAATAATTTGTTGTACGTTTTAGAGTAACTGAGGGAGGAGTATTACTGGAATGTTCATAACACAAAGAAATGATAAATGCTTGAGGTGATGGATACCCCCATTTACCCTGATGTAATTATTACACATTGTATGCCTGTATCCAAATATCTAATGTACTCCATAAATACCTAATGCATACCTACTATGTACCCAGAAATCTTTTCTAAAAGATAAGTATTTTTAACAAATGAGTAAGAGTTTCAAATGGGTAAGGAGTGAAAACAGTGCTAGTAGCCAACCATTGACTAACCTAAAGAACATGGCTGAAATCTTTCTAATGCCAGGCAGATTTAGAATCCTGTGTAATATATTAATAGTTCTTAAGAACCTCTTCACTTTAGTACATTGGACTGTGAGTTAAATAGGTTTTTAGAACATCCCCAGTGATGGCTGCCATTTAGAAGGAACAAGGAGACCCCAGATTACTGAATAGAGATTATAGTAGCTTGAGATAGGCACTAGAACATCAACTCTCTTAGCCTAAACCCTACCCCTAAATCTTTATTTTGTCCAGAGGATAGGGAAGGCAATTTTCAAGAGGAAGGAGAACTTATTACTTATGAAAACTTGTTATAGCCCAGGAATTCCACAAGGCAGTACAAGTTGAGTGTCCCTTATCTGAAATGCTTGAGATT